TGGGTCAGAAACAGAGGCCAGGACATGAAGCAGGCATTGCTGTGTAGGATGCAGGTGAATCAAGCAGAGGTTTAACCCCCCAGTGCCACCACATGGGCACCACAATCCAGCTGCTTTGCCATCACTTGCTGCTAACAGGGGTGCGCGTTGGTAGGAAGCTGTACTTAAGAGCAGAGCTGGAGGCCGGTGCCGCAGCTCACTAGGCTAATCCTCCGCCTAGCGGCGCCGGCACACCGGGTTCTAGTCCCGGTCGGGGCGCCGGATTCTGTCCCGGTTGCCCCTCTTCCAGGCCAGCTCTCTGCTGTGGCCAGGGAGTGCAGTGGAGGATGGCCCAGGTGCTTGGGCCCTGCACCCCATGGGAGACCAGGAGAAGCACCTGGCTCCTGGCTCCTGCCACCGGATCAGCGCGGTGCGCCGGCCGCAGCGCGCCGGCCGCGGCGGCCATTGTAGGGTGAACCAACGGCAAAGGAAGACCTTTCTCTCTGTCTCTCTCTCTCACTGTCCACTCTGCCTGTCAAAAAAAAAAGCAGAGCTGGGATTGGAAAGTAGGCACCCGACTGGTGTCTCAACTGCTAAGCCAAATGCCTGCCCTAGCAGTTTGCTCTAAGTAGAGATGCGAGGGAAGCCCGTTCCAGTAATTCACTCTTCAGTTCTTTGGAGTGAATTGAGATGGGCGCAGAAGGAGGCAGGGGAGCCGTGGCCAAGGTCATGGGAAGGGTCAGGGCCAGGGGGGAGGTTGGGCTGGAAGGGGTGAGTGCTGCTGCTCAGCAGGGGTGAGAGCACAGCTGGCCTTTGGGATCCCTCCAGAGTCGCCAGTGTCACTGCCCGCTGTAGCCGCCACACCCCTGCACTCCTGAGCTTGCCGAGATGGCATTGCAAGGTGGCGGCACCCTCCAAATAAGGAGGCAGAGTCTAAGGGAGGTGCACCCTGCAGAACTGTCTTCTCTCCCTGACAAGTGAGGGTGAGGAGCGGACCCGCCTCTGTGTCCTGCCCCGGAGTCAGCTGGGGAGAAGGCTGAGGCTTTTTGCCACTCCTGCTGGGTCTCCCCCTTGTCCTGCAGGCCACACAGTGGGGGTGGGGAGGAGAGCAGGGTGGGAAGCGAAGGGGAGGGCTGCAGACAGCCTTCGGACAGCTCTCTCCGCATATACTTGCTGTGTTGGGATATAGTGCAAGTTAGCAATGGCATCCCTGTTCCATGTAGCCATCAAGCCGGCCAGATCCTGTGTTTTGTTTTTTAAAGATTTATTTATTTATTTGAAAGGCAGAGTTACAGAGCGAGGGAGACACAGAGAGGTCATCCATCCACTGGTTCACTCCCCCCAGCTGGCCGCAACAACCAGGGCTGGGCCACGCTGAAGCCAGGAGTCCTGAAATCCATCTGGGTCTCCCATGTGGGTGGCAGGGGCTCAAGCGCTTAGGCCATCGTCCACTGCTTTCCCAGGGAGCTGGTTTGGAAGTGGAGCAACCAGGACTCCAACCAGCACTCCTAGAGAACTGCCAGTGGCTTAGCCCACTGGGCCACAACAGCAGCGGCCCCAGAGTCAGCTTTTATGCTAAAACAAAGGTCTGGTGCAGCTGGGCTGTCCCCTGGGGCACCAGGCTCCTGGCTGCAGCCTATCCCTGCCCAGGAAGTGCAGGGAGGGAGCAGCTTGGCTTTGAACTTGCTGCAAGCCCCTAGCATGCGGGCAGGGAGGCGGGAAGGGGCCCCCTACCTTGGCAGGAAGCCCTCGGGCCTCAGCGTGTTCTTTTAAACATAGCTGTATCTTATCTGCATTCTTCATCCTTTCGAAAATATTTGTTTTTAGTTGGGGCGTTTTTTGCTTATTCTGCACAATTCCAGCAGCTGAAGGCCCAGGCGCTGTGTTCCCTGGAGGCGTGGGGGGCCCTCCCTCAGCCATCGCTGGTGTCCGGAGTGGGGCATGAGCGCCCTGGGTGGCGTGGCAGACCCTGAGGGTCTCGGGTTGGTGGAGTCCTGTGGGATATGGATCTTGGGGGTCAGGCAAAGTCCTTGGCTGGCGGGCTCTGACCTGTGACCTGTGCGGGTTTATCTTCAGAAGGGGCGGGGAGGTGAGTGCTTGGGAACCCAGAGTCAGGGGCTTGTTCTCCGCGGGGCCCTGGCTCCACCGGGAGCCTCGGCTGGCTGAATGCCAGGCCAAAGTTCAGAGATGGAGGCTTGGGGTCAGCCAGGCCCAAGTTCAAAGATGAAGCTTCTTCTTTTACATTGGAAAATGTAACTTCCTTTCTATCTTGCCTCTTCCAGACTTCATGCGCACTTATGTTTCATTGATTCACAATCTGTATATCCTTTTACCGCCTTACACTTGTCATAAAGTGATCTCCCGGCTCAGGACTTCAGCTACCCAGGTTTGGTGGCTGTAGTTCTGGCCACTGGCTTTGAATTCACCACCCACCCCCACCTCTACCTCCCTGCCCCTGGGATGGGATGGGATGGGATGGAAATGGCTGGACACACAGTGCCTGGCTCCCTGCGGGCACCTTGGCTGCCTGTCCCTGCCCGGCCTGCAGGGAGCCTGAGGTGCCCCCCCCCCGGAGTCCAAGCTGAGCCCACCCGGTGGCAGCAGCGAGGGTGGGACAGAGGGTGGGACAGATCTGGTTTCAGGGAAAGTTTGTTGACAACTGAAAAATATTTTATAAGCTCTTGGGGGCTGGCAAAAAATCTGGGCCGTGTTTTGCCAAACACATTCTGCCCTGAACTTTGAAGCCAACGTGTATTTTCAGGGAAACATAATCTGTAGTTTCTTCAAGTGTTTACTTGAGCCCTACATTGTTTTCTTAAAGGCCTGATGCACGCTCTCCAAGAAGATTGGGAAACTGTCATTTAAAAAAAAATTCCATTTCCTACAACCCAGGAAGTTGACTCCAAGGGGCTACACCCAAGACCCCCAGCCCCAAATGAATCAGCTTGAACCACCAGCAGAGTCTGAATCTCTCTCTGCCCGATACCAGACATCAAGAGAAAATTTTTACTTTTATTTATTTATTTTTAAAGATTTACTTTTTTATTTGAAAGAGTTAGGGGGAGAGAGAGAGAGAGAGAGAGAGCGCGCCTCTACCCGCTGGTTCATTCCCCAAATGGCTGCAACAGCCTGAGCTGGGCTGATCCAAAGCCAGGATCCAGCAGCTTTTTCCAGGTCTCCCTGGTGGGTGCAGGGGCCCAAGCACTTGGGCCATTTTCTACTGCTTCCCCAGGCCGTTAGTGGGGAGCTGGATCAGAAGTGGAGCAGCCAGGACTCGGAGCGGCGCCCATATGGAATGCCAGTGTTGCAGGCGGCGGCTTTACCTGCTGCGCCACAATGCCAGACCCAAGATAAATGTTTTAAATCAATCAGAATTAATGTGATAAATATTCCTCCCAATACGTATCCCCCAAATCTTGTGAGTGTTTGAATCTATCAGTTTTCTCATCTGTAAAATGGCTCTTGGTTCTAACATTCCTACATTCTATTGCTAGTTTGGCCCTAACAATGGTTCTCCCAGGGGAATCGTCTTTACCTGTGGCTCACCCTCTGCCTGCACCAGGTCCCAAACTCCTCAGCCATCAGCTCGATTCTGCCCTGAGAGGCCTCCCAGGCCCCCGGTGCCTCCAGTGCCCATGTGCTGTGTGCTGCCCTGAAGTCCTGGTGGGAGCCTCCCGCGGCCTCTGGGAAGCCTGGTCCAGCCTCTGGCCAGTGCAGGCGCTGAGCCCTGTTGAGCGCAGCCTGCACTCGCGCTATGGGAGCTGTCTTGGAAGGGGGCGTATGCGTTGATGGTCTCTGTCTCTCTGGTTGTGTCATGGGCCACCGCAACAAATGAGCACGCCTGGCGCTTTGAAACAGTTCCCGTGTGTTCTTGCAGTCTGTGAGGGCCACGAGCGTGCAGTCAGTGTCCCTGGGCTGACGCCAGTGCCAGCAGGTAGCCACACCGCTCGGGAAGCCTGTGGGGGACAAGCTATGCCTGGTGGCGTCCAGCTTTGGTGGCTGCTAGCATTCCTTGGCTTCTGGCTGCCTCTGTCTTCATGTGGCTGGCTGTCTCTCTCTCTCTCTCTCTCTCTCTCTCTCTCTTAAGATTTATTTGCTTGGAAGTCAGAGTTACATAGAAGGAGAGACAGAGAGAGAGAGAGAGAGGGAGAGATCTTCCATCTGCTGGTTCACTCCCCAGTTGGCCGCTACAGCCAGAGCTGCGCCGATCCGAAGGCCAGGAGCCAGGAGCTTCCTCTAGGTCTCCTACGTGTGTGCAGGGGCCCAGGGACTTGGGCTGTCTTCTACTGCTTTCCCAGGCCATAGCAGAGAGCTGGATCGGAAATAGAACAGCCAGGTCTTGAACCGGCATCCCTGTGAGATGCGGGCATTGCAGGCAATGGCTTTACCTGCTACACCACAGCGCCAGCCTCATGTGGCCATCTCCTCTGGGGTGTCAGATCCCCCTCTTCCTTTCTAAGGACCCTTGTGATGGCATTCAGATCCCTTCCAGATACTCCAGAGTGAGCGTCCCAAATCAAGATCCTCAAGTTAATCACTTCTGCGAAGTCCCTTCTCCCGTAAGGTAACACAGGACCTGCGAGCTTTGGGCCTGCCGAATGCAGGGAAAACAGCCAACCTCTCGGCTTGGCTGCACTGCAACTCCTGCAGCTCAGTCTGCACGACGACCCCTTGAGGCGGGCGCGGTCACTGCAGGAGGCTGCGCAGGTGAATGCGCTTTGCCACGGGCAGTCCCAGGACCTTGTCCAGCCTTCCCGGCTATGGAGCCCGTAGCCTTGGCCCCTGTGCGTCTGCCTGTGTAGGCTGGGTTTGCTGAATAGGCCTGGAGACTGAGAAGGCACAATAAGGAAGGAAGAGGAGGGAGACAGTGGAAGAGAAGCTTCGGGGCTAGGGGACTGGCCGTACTGCTCCCAGGGCCCCAGGCTTCCGACAAGCTCCCGGACTGAAGTCCGCATTTAAAAGGGACTGGCAAGTCCCGGGCTGGTCTCCCACACTCCTTGCCCACCTCCCCCTTCCTGCAGGACATGAGAGCTACGTCACCTTCTGTCAGCTGGAGGACGAAGCCGCCTTCACGTGCAGCGCCGACTGCACCATCCGGAGATGGGACGTGCTCACCGGGCAGTGTGTGCAGGTGTACCGAGGACACACATCCATTGTGAACAGGTCAGCCCGCCCTGGGGCCTGGGCCGCGTCCTGTCCATGGGACGTCAAGGGGACAGAGACCCTGGACTTTGAGGAGTCTAGGTTCTCTGGGGAAGTCCCTGTGTGGACAGCAGCACGCAGGGACGGAAAGTCTAGGACGGAGGTGTCCCTGGGCCCAAGTGCCCACTGCCTGGGGCTGCAAGGAGGGTTGGGAAGGGGAGGCGTGGGAAAAAGGGCGCACCCCTGTGAGTTGTGCCTGTCACCCCCTCCCCCTTGAGGGGCTGCTCTGCCAGCACAGCGCCCCCTGCTGGGCACCGGACAGGCATCGGAAGCCTATAGGGCGCCTCCTGCTGGGGCAGAGGAAGATGCTGAATTCATTCCTGTCGTCAGACCAAAGAGCAAACGGAGAGAGATTGCTATAAGATGGCGGGGAGGGTGTTTCTGAACCTTTCTGTGTGGTTGTTGAAAATATCCCACCCCCTCCCCGAGAGGGTTTGAAGTTTTCCTTTCTTTCCTCACTGAGCTGAGCAGTAGACATTCCTTTGCTGATCAATGGACACCATCTGTGTGACTTGAGATGCTTGCTCGGGCTTCTGGGGGGTTGCCCAGTACCGGGGCGCGGGGTTGGGGCGGCAGCCGTGGCGCCTGGCAGCCTTGTTGGAGGGAGTGGGCGGGAGGGGAATGGGAAGGCGCGGGAGGCTGATCTCCGCAGGGGGCCGGGGCTGGCGCTGGGCCAGCAGAGAGGCCAGGGACAAGCTGGGGGGCTGTGAGAGTGCAGGGTGGGGCAGGCATGGTGGGTGGACGAGGGCGGCAGCGGGGATCAGGCCAGCAGCCTGGGGTCCGAGCACCCGCAAGGAGAAGGCCGAAGAGAGATCAGTCTGCAGGCCCCCAGGCACCAGGGAGGGTGTCGGCCCAGCCCCTGCCTTAGCTGAAGTAGGCGGGGCCAGAGACCTGCCCTGGGACCAACAGGCCGGCCTCTTCTGGGCACCCTGACCTTCCTGGAATGCAGTCTGTCCCGGAAGTTCAACAGTATGGGGGCGGGGAGAACCCCCTGTGTGAATCAGTCAGCCAGGGCTGTGGGGGGCGGGAGGGGATGCAGTGTGTCCTTGGCTGCTGGCTTGTCAGAGCTAAAAGTGAACAGTGCAAGGTGGGAATTCTTATCTGCCAGCCTTAGTCTCCTGTGCACACACACACACGTACACATATGTGCGCACACATGCAATCACCCGTATACAACACAAACGGAACGCACACACAACACACCCAGACACACAGACACACGCTCCTACGGGTGCACACACTCTTCCCATGAGTCCCTGGTCAGGTAACCGTGATCACGGCGGGTGAGTGCGAGGCCCTTGATCACTTGCTCCTTTTTTTCAGGGCTGTGCTGGGCGTGTGAGTCTGGGTTGGGGGGCACCAAGCCCCTCACCCCGTCCCTGCCTTCTCCCGCGGGACCACAGCCAGCAAGCTGCTTCCGTGCCCCATAGCAGCACCCATTGGGCCACAGTGCCAGAACGTCACTTTCCTCTTGGGAAAACGGTGCTTCGTGGGCCGAGAGTGCGCGTGTCAGCGCATCCTGGCTGAGTCACTTGCAGCAAATGCAGGGGTTCCTGCAGAGGGCAGGGGAGGGGCAGCAGGCGGTCCCGGGACTGGGTCTCCTCCCAGCCGTGCAGGGGCCAGCTCTGATTCAGGAGGGGTCTTGACCCTTGGCAGCTCCTCTGTCCCATTCCAGCAGGGACACACGTTCCTCCCACCCCACCCCTTCCTGCTGCAGCCAGGGCCTGAGCCCTGTGGCCTCCCCTGGGGATGAGAGATGTGCGAGGGGCGGGAACCCAGGCCCTTTGAAATGCTAGGCGTGGTTGTGCTCAGGAGACAAACGGGAGAAGTTCTTAGCATTCTGCACCCTGAGATCCAGAGGCGGGCCTGCTGACCGCTTGCTCCCTTGGGAGGCAAGGCCCCCGTCGCTCTCCCACCCGCAGTCCCCGGGCCTCTTGGCCTGCTGGGAGCCTGGGACCCCACGAGGGCTGCCACTAAAGCTGCAGCTGAGCCGACAGCCCACCTCCGCCCCACCTGCTGCAGCGTTGGGTCTGGGAGCTGGAGTGGCAGGAGGTGTTTCTGGAGTTCCTAACAGCTGTCTCCAGGGGGACCAGCTCAGCCCCTCAGCCCCAGACTTCCTGGGAAGCTCAGTGCCCTCCGTCCTTGTCTCCCTCCTGCCCTCCTCCTTTAACTGTCATGAGTGGCTGCCCTGAGCGCAGCCTTGGGCGGGAGCAGAGCCTCTGACCTTACTCCCCGCTGCAGGTGCAGGGCAGGTGAGCAGGTGGCTGAGCGCGGGGATGGGTCACAGAAGGGAAGTCAGGGTGGCTTCCTGGAGGTGGGGTGCTTTCAGCTGGGCCTTGGAAGGTGAGTGTGTGGACCGGAAGGAGAGGCTGCTGCAGCCGCAGGGGCTGAGGCTGGCTCGCAGGGGGCGCTGTGTGGATCCCATGGACCCTGACCCTGCCTCTGATGCCCCCAGGATCCTGGTGGCCAACAACCAGCTCTTCAGCAGCTCCTACGACCGCACAGCTCGCGTCTGGACGGTGGACAAGGGGCAGATGTCCCGGGAGTTCCGGGGCCACCGCAACTGCGTGCTGACGCTGGCCTACTCTGCCCCCTGGGACCTCCCGGAAGCTCCCTGTGCAGAGGAGGCGGCCACGGCGGCCGGCGGGCTCCTGGTGACCGGCAGCACAGACGGCACGGCCAAGGTGTGGCAGGTGGCCAGTGGCTGCTGCCACCAGACGCTGCGGGGCCACACGGGCGCCGTGCTGTGCCTGGTGCTGGACACGCCCGGCTACACGGCTTTCACCGGCAGCACCGACGCCACCGTCCGCGCCTGGGACATCCGGAGCGGGGAGCAGCTGCGGGTGTTCCGGGAGCACCAGGGCTCCGTCATCTGTCTGCAGGTGAGAGCTGCCCTGCCCGGCCCGGCTGCTGTGTGCATCGGCTCCGCGGGGACCACGCACCCCAGACTGGTGGGGGGGGGGCGCCCTACTGCACGAACGCCCACCCACACGACCTCTTTTTGAAGACCTTTCTCGAAATAGGGCCACCTTCCCGGTTTGGGGGTGGGGTAGGGCTTCCGCAGGGAACCCGGGGTAAGAGGACTTGGCTTACAGCTCCCGGCTGCTGTATCTGTGTGGGGAGGCTGGGCCCGGCCCCTCTGCTGCCAGGCTGAGGCCCTCCTGACCTCCACTGGCTCCCCTCCCCTTCCCTCCTCCCTCCTCTCCTCCTCCCCTCCTCCTCTCCCCTTCCCTGCCTCCCCATCCTCTCCTCTCCTCCCCTTCCCTGCCTCCCCCATCCTCTCCCCTCCCCTCCCCTCCCCTCCCCTTCTCTTTTCAAGCAGTAAGCATGCTAGCCAGGTTTAGTGGCGCGAATGCCAGGCAGACAGACAGGCATCTGGGTAAAGAACTGAGAGCCGGGTCTGCCGTCTGCGTCCACACTGGAGGTTTATGGACATGCGCACAGGCGCCCCCTGCCGTCTGGTGGAGGGCTTCTGGGCGCTGAATTCCCTGGCCCCTTCCAGGACCTTATCCGCGCAGTGTTATTGGACCTTATAGTCCCCTTGGTGCAGGGCCAGGGTGAAACATTTCCAGTGCAAAGCATAGCAAATACACGTGTGTGCTCACTCTTTTATTATTATTATTTAAAGGTTTATCTATTTATTTATTTGAAAGGCAGACGTACAGAGAGAGAGAGAGAGAATGAATGAGATCTTCCATCTGCTGATTCACTTCTTAAATGGCCACAGTGGCTAGGGCTGGGCCAGGCTGAAGCCAGGAGCCAGGAGCTTCATCCGGGTCTCCCACATGGGTGCAGGGGCCCAAGCACTTGGGTATCTTCCTGAGCTTTCCGAGGTGTATTAGCAGGGGGCTGCATTGGAAGTGGAGCAGCCGGGACTGCTGCCACATCCTGCTCTTGAAATTAGTTATTAACATTGGCCTAAAGGAGTGAAATGCTGAGACGGGCGCTGCGGCATTGTGGGCTAAGCCGCTGCCTGCAGTGCCGGCATCCCAAATGGGCGCCAGTTGAATTCCTGGCCACTCCTCTTCCGATCCAGCTCTCTGCTCATGCACCTGGGAAAGCAGTAGAAGATGGCCCATGTCCTTGGGCTCCTGCACCCACGTGGGAGACCTGGATGAAGCTTCTGGCTCCTGGCTTCGGCATGGCCCAGCGTTGGTCATTGCGGCCATTTGGGGAGTGAACCATGCGATGGAAGATTTCTCTCCCTCTCTCTCTCTCTCTGCCTTTCAAACAAACAAACAAACAAAAAAAGAGTGAATGTTTCCAATACAGCTAGAGAGAAAGGCAAGGCCCTGAGGCCAGAGAGGCAGCCTGAGATCACTGGGCCTGTGTTGTCCTGGCCCAGCCTCCTTGCAAAAGTGCTGTCACAGGGCCGACGCCGCGGCTCACTAGGCTAATCCTCCGCCTTGCGGCACCGGCACACCGGGTTCTAGTCCCGGTTGGGGCGCCGGATTCTGTCGCGGTTGCCCCTCTTCCAGGCCAGCTCTCTGCTGTGGCCCGGGAGTGCAGTGGAGGATGGCCCAAGTGCTTGGGCCCTGCACCCCATGGGAGACCAGGAGAAGCACCTGGCTTCAGATTGGTGCAGCACCGGCTGTAGCAGCCATTTCGGGGGTGAACCAACGGAAGGAAGACCTTTCTCTTTGTCTCTCTCTCTCACTGTCTATCTGTCAAATAAATAAATAATATTTTAAAAAAGTGCTGTTATAGCAAGCAGATCCTGAGGAGTGGGGGGCACCCTGCATCCTAGGACTACTATGAACGCCAGCTACTGCTTTATTCATTTTCACTTAGGTATTTATTTGAAAGGCAGAGACATAGAAACACAGAAATTTCCCATCTGCTGGTTCACTCCCCAAATGCCCACAGCAGCCAGAGCCGTGCCAGGCTAAAGGCAGGAGCCCGAAACTCCATGCAGGTCTCCCACATGGGTGGCAGGACCAAGTACTTGCACCATCACTTGCTGCCTCCGGGATCCACATTAGGAAGAAGCCGGAACTGGAAGCCAAGCTGGGACTCAAACCCAGACATGGGTATTTTTTTTCTCCTAAGATTTATTTATTTTATTTGAAAGGCATTAGTTACAGAGAGAATGACACACACACACACACACACACACACACACAGATCTTCCATTCACCGGCTCACTCTCCAAATGGCTGCAATGGCCAGGCTTGGGCCAGGCTGAAGCCAGGAGCCAGGAGCTTCTCTTCTGGGTCTCCCACACGGGTGCAGGAGCCCAAGGACTTGGGCCATCTTCCACTGCTTTCCCAGGCCATAGCAGAGCTGGATCGGAAGTGGAGCAGCCAGGACTTGAACCGGCGCCCATATGGGATGCCCGCACCAAAGCGCCAGCCCCTGAATACCTGGGTGGTCCGATGGCTTCGGAATCCAGGGGCTGGGACTGCAGCCTGCACTCCTGATAGGGGAAGGGAGCCTATCGGATCGGCCCAACCTGCAGCACAGGGCCCGCCCTGCGGGATTGTCTTTAATCAGCGCGCCTCGGGCCCTCCTCCCTGCCCTGGGGGTGCCAGCCCAGGGGAGTCCTGTGCTGGTCCCTGAAGGGCCCGCTGCCGGGCCAGCAGCCGGCTGTCGGGTTCTAGATCATTCTCTTGCTCGAAGTCCTGTGCGAGAGCCCTTCTCCGGGCCCCTCACCCCGCACCCAGGGCCACGGGAGTGGGCAGTGGGCGCTGTCGGGAGTGGACAGTGGGCGCCGTCCACCTAAAGCAGGTGGTCGCCTGGAGCCTGCAGCCGGCCCGGCCGCGGAGCCCCGGCTGAGGCCAGCCCCCGCCCTCCTCCCAGCTCGTGGACCGCCTGGTGTACTCGGGCAGCGCCGACAGGACCGTCAAGTGCTGGCAGGCCGACACGGGCGAGCACCTGCGCACCTTCTCCGCCCACAGACGGAACGTGAGCGCCCTCAAGTACCACGCGGGCACGTGTAAGTGAGCGGTGCCGCCAGGGGGCGCTGCCCGCCCTTTCCTCTGCTGCTTGGCTTCTGCTTCGAGCCTGGGCAGCCCCCTCGGGACTGTCAGCACCTGCTCCTCCTGCGTCTGTCCCAGGCCCCCGCCCCCGCCTCCTCGCCGTCCCCTGCAAGATACCCCTGGGTGTCTGGAGGCCCTAGGGTCCAAAGCGCATCTCTAGGACACACTTCAAGTCTCCCAGCGAGGCAGATACCCGGTAATCCAGCTAGGCTCAAGGGCTACGTTGAAGCCCCTCCCCGCGGGCCCTCCCTGCTGCCCCAAGTTACCGAGGTTACAGGATTTAATTCCTGACCCTCGCGCCGCCCACGCCCGCTCAGCAGCCATGCTGTCTCTGGTCTGCGGGGTCGGGAGGCGGGAAAGGAGCTGGAGAGGCCTGGCAGCGAACCCCCCACCCACCCAGGGCCACATGCGCCCTGCAGCTTTTGCAAAGAGGCTACAGACGGACAGATGAAGGCAGGAAGCGAGGGCGAGGCGTGGATGTCCCCAGAGCAGGGAGTCCCCCAGGCAGTGCTTGGGAGACACACACACACAGAGCCTGGCAGGGGCAGCGCCCCCTGGCGGTGCTGAGGGGGTTGACACCCACAAGTCCTCCTAGCAATGACTGACTGAGCTGATGGGTAAGTGCCCAGGGTCTTGACGCCCGCGGGGGTCGTTACAGTCTCCCCAGGGCCCCAGCAGCCACCTGCTGCTCAGGGGCAGCCCCTGCTTGGGTCCCGTCCTCCCCCCCACCCCCCCGCTCCCCTCGGGTGCTCCCTGGGATGCCTGCCAAGCAAACGATTCGCCTCCAATCCTGGAGTCAGGGTTGGCCAAGGGAGGGAGCTCCTGTAGTCTCAGTGTGACCGCCCCCCCAGCAGCTTCAGGCGGGAGGGGAGGGGCGAGAAATGCAAACTTCCTAGGCCCCTCCTGGTGACTGATGCTCCTGGAAGCCAGCAGAGAAGTTGGGTTGGTTGGAGGAAGCTCCCAGGGAGAGGAGACTGCTTCCCCTGCGCGGGGTGGGGGGTGGGTGCAGGACCGCAGGCAGATGGAGGGAGGTCCCTCTTTTCCACACACCCACAGGGATGGGGTGACACAGCGAAGATGACTCCTGTTTCCCTTAGGGGCGGGGTGGCGGGGTGGGGGCTTCTGCCTACTTCCGAATGACCCTTATGGCGTCCCTGCGGGCCAGCCGGGGGCCACACTGCTCTCTCTTCCTGGGCTCTGGGGAGAAGGTGGCGGCGGAGGCCCCGACGCCCACTGTGTGTCCACAGTGTTCACGGGCAGCGGGGACGCCTGCGCCCGGGCCTTCGACGCCCAGACCGGAGAGCTGCAGAGGGTGTTCCGGGGCCACGCTTTCGTTATCAACTGCATCCAGGTAGGACCTCCGCCGCCCGGTCCCTGGTTCCCTCTGGGAGGTGAAGACCTTCCACACCCTGTCCCCCCCCCCCCCGCCCCGCACCGTGGGCAGATGCGGTCCCCTCCGTCCGCACCCCCGCAGCGGGTGGCGGGCGCGCAAGCTGAACAGGCCGCCCGCCCACAGGTGCACGGCCAGGTGCTCTACACCGCCTCGCACGACGGCGCCCTGCGCCTCTGGGACGTGCGCGGCCTCCGCGCCCCGCGCCCCCCGCCGCCCAGGCGCGCCTCCAAACGCAGCCTCTCGCGCCTCTTCAGCAACAAGGTGGGCTGCGCCGCCGCGCCCCTGCAGCCGGCCTGAGCCCGCCCGCCTGCCGCCTGGCCCCGGTCCTGCTGCCTGCGGAGGAGCCCGGAGGAGCCCCAGCCTGCAGGAGAGCTGGGTGGCGGGGGTCTTTGTTTTTCCTCGGTGGATTTTTCAACGCCCTCCGCCCGTGGGGGAGGGAGAGGGTACTTGTCACCGGGGACCGTCCCTTGTGGCACCTCTTCCTCCCCTAAGCTGAGGTCGCGCCATCTGGCCTACCCGGGACCCTTCCCACTCCCAGTGTCCCAGAGACCCCTGAGAGCCCCTGAGGCCAAGTGCTTCCCGCTGCGAGGAGCCCAGGCCTCTTAGAGAAAGCTACTGAGCCAGACTGTTATTTCTGCCAGTTGTCCGCGAATAGGACCTGGCTGAGCGACTGAAATACACGCCCCTAACAGCACTCTCGAGTTGTGTCCTGTTTGCTTTGCAGTCTCAGCTTCCTTAACGGGACAAAGGTCCAGAAACCCAGGGGTGGCTGGGCTCCTGGCCTGGGCAGCCTCTCCTCCTGGGGAGGTCAGGATGGTCCCCCGAGTCACTCGTGCAAGGGGAAAGAACACCTGTTCTTTAGTCTGCTGGAGGACAGCGAGGACCCCGGCTTTGGCGCACCCATCATCGTCCTGCCTGGTGCTGGAGGGCCTCCGCTTTCGGGGTCTGGAGTAGGACAGACAACAGCCGGCTGGCGTCTTGTAGAGGAGCCAGAGCGGTGCCCAGCGTAGTCACGGCACACGGCACAAGCGCGCGTGCGCACACACCCCACTGGGGAGAGCCCTCCCAGGTGGAAGCGAGTGGGGCTTGGGCTGAGCAGGCCCTGAGGGAGGCTCCTGCCGCGCCCATCATAGCGCCTGAAGGGGCGCTCTCCAGGTCCTTGGCGCTGCTGCCAGCATTCACAATACCCCGTGCCCGGCCCTGGCTCACCCGCGGTGCAGGGAGAGAAGCTGCAGCCGACGGCAGTGCACCGTTAGCGACAGGTCTCCTGTGCAGAGCAAGCCTTGATGCAGACAAGTGTGCAGTTCGTGGTCTCAATGCAAGAGGTGTTTCTCACCGCAAGGTCCCACCGTTCTGGGATGCTCAGGCCCTGGGCGAACAGGTTCAGATCGCGGAAGAAGATGCATACATTTGTGACTGTGCTGCAGGCCGACTCTCAAAACCCTGGGAGCCCAAGCGGTCCCCCAGGAAATCAAGCTGTTAGTAGCAAGCAGAGTCTGGGAGGAGCCTGCAGAAATGGGACACACACTCTTGTCCAGTGGGCTTTAGCACAGAGACCTGTGGGCAGCTCCTCCCCAGGCCAGCGGCTGCAGGGAGCAACACGCCCACCAGAAGGTGGAGGGAGCCAAGGGGTCTGCCTGTGGCTACCCCCCGTGACGAGTCCTGGGACCATCCTGAAGTTCCCGTTCACAGACCCTGCTGGCTGATGCTGGCAGGTGACCTGCGTTCTCACCCCAGCAGCTCTGGCTCCTCCCCCATCCAGCTGCCCAGAGGGACAAACCAGCTGGGCGTGGGTCCTAGGGCCCGGGCTGCTGCACGTGTTCTGAGCCCCCCTGCTCCCCCCACCCCCCAAAGAGGAATAAATAAAACACTATTTTGCATCCAGACAGCACAATGCATTGGGAGTGATTTTTTTTTTTTATTTCCAAAGCACAGAAACCTTGTTCCATTTGAGAACATTATGAGAGGACTTCAAAAAGTTCATGGGAGATGGAATTAGAAGTTCAGGGGCAGGTGCTGCGGCTCACGGAGGTCAAGCTGCCACTGGGGGATGCTTGCACCCCATATCCGGGTGCTGTTCAAGTCCTGGCTGCTCAACCGAGCTTCCTGCTAACGCACCTGGGAGCACAGTGAGTGATGGCCCAAGGACTTGGGTTCTGCTCTCCCGAGAGATCTGGCGGGCATCCCCGGCTTCGGCCTGACCCCGCCCCAGGCGTTGCGGGCATTTGGGAAGTGAACCGGTGCATGAAAGATGTGTCACTCTGCCTTGCAAACCAATCTTAAAAACAAAAATGCTTTATCTTGGTGCAAAAAATTTTTGAAATCCATGTTTTCTCATAACACTGTCTGCATACTTTATAGGTCCTTGATATGCAGGAATTTCAGAATTTTTTGCACCACAATAAACTCCTCTTTGAATTCCCTTCCCGTGAACTTTCTGAAGTCCTGTCTCAAGGAGAAACGCTCATTTCTGTGACTCCCATGAGCTCCAGACATTTACGCGTGAATCCAGACCTGGTCCCTTGAGCCACGCCAGTCGCTCTGCTAGAAAGCAGGTGTACCTCTGAGCAATCTATTTGGTTGGCTAGGAGGAGGGGCCAAGAACAGACTCGGGGGCACTCAGCCTCGTGGTGAAGCAGTCAGGACACTGGAGCGCTGGGGCTGGAAACGCAGACTCGCAGGGGCCGAGTGAGGACTCAATGACTGGGTCCCTGCCGCCCACGGGGGAGACCCTGAACCGTGCCCCTGCGCATGGCCAACCGCTGCGCGCACCTGGGCACTGAAGCAGCACGTGTGAGCCTCGTGTCTCACATGAATACTACTCACCAAGAAGACAAAGCAGGGGTAATCTGACAAGCCAAGCACAGGTGCACTTGGCCAGGGCCAACACACCTTATCCCAGCCTCAGGCTGACCTCACCACTTTCCTGAAGTCATCCCCCGACCCCCTACCCCCACCCCAAACCCCTCTTTGCGGGCTCTGTAACTGGACTCAGCGACTGTCCAGCCGGGCTCGTCTCCACACTCACCAGCTGGTGGGGCCGCAACCACCCCTGTGATCCCATGAACGGATCTCACGGTGGCTTCCCCCACATTGTGTCTGTGCTGGGCCCAGAGTGTTCCTTCTCCTCTGACCCTCCACGGAGAACGCTCCCGGGCCCTCCTCTGGCTGCCTCAGCCCCCTCGCTCCCAGCAGCCACCGTCTGTCCAGTTTCACACCCCCAGAGGCGCCAGCCGCGCCTGGGTAACAGTGGACATCCTGCCCCACCTGCAGAACCGGCTTCTCCACAGCTCCCTTCACTCTGCTTCCTCCCTAGCCTCTCCATGATCATCAACAAAGCCAGTTCGGATGCTAGAAGCCTCTGTCTTGATCTAAGCCCACAGTGGTGCCTTGTTAGCCAAAAGCTTAAATTCAGGCCTGAAACAAAGACCAACATTGTCTCAAAGAGATATCAAGAGACTCATCACCAGGGCTGGTGCTGTGGCACAGCGGGTAAAGCCCCGCCCTGCAGCACCGGCATCCCCTATGGGTGCTGGTTCAAGACCTGGCTGCTCCACTTCTGATCCAGCTCTCTCTCTGCTGTGGCCTGGGAAAGCAGTGGAAGATGGCCCAAGTCCTTGGGCCCCTGCACCCACATGGGAGACCCGGAAGAAGCTCCTGGCTCCTAGCTTTGGGTCAGCTCAGCTCTGGCTGTTGCGATCACTTGGGGAGTGAACCAGTGGATAGAAGACCTCTCTCTCTGGCTCTAACTCTTTCAAATAAGTAAATCTTTAAAAAAAGAGAGACTCATCCCCTCAGCCCGTGGCCTCTACCCATCACATCCTGGGAGGTGCACCGCGGCCTGCCCTCCCGCCCCGCCTCCCCACCCCGCCCCGCCTCCCCTCCCCACCAGCACCCGAGCTGTACAGCAGATGTCCCCTGCTGCTTCTCAGGACCCCTACTCCAATCCTCACAAAACCCAGTGGAAAAAAGTCTTGGATAGACACGAAGCTCTAGGTCACCCACACGTAATCTAGGAATTTCGGTAACTTATGGCAAAGGTAGCCTGGCAACTTCTGAATGTATTTCCCACCTCTGATCTCCAACACCATCACTCATTTTAAAAGAACGACAAGGTTCCCATCTGTCTCAACTGGACTGCTGTCTGCATTTTAGAAAATGTAGTTGTTGATTCATTTTATCTGAAAGGCAGAGAGGGCTGGTTTACTTCCCCAATGTCCTGAGAGCCAGGGCTGGGCCAGGCTGAAGCCAGGAGCCTGAAACTCCACTTGGGTCTCCCGCGTGGGTTAGCAGGGAGCCAAGTACTTGAGCCATCATCTGCTGCCTCCCCAGGCGCACTGGATCCAGGCCGGAAACTAGATCAGAAGCAGCACAGCCAGGACCGGAGCCAGGTACTCTGACAGAGTACAGGCAACGCAACCCCTGTGCCCGCTGCCTGCCCCTGCTGTCCACATCTGATGACGTCACAGCCCTTCAGTCAGCCCGGTGAGGGCGACACGTGGCCCGTCCTACCCACGGCCACGGGAGTTTCCGCTGACTCTGGATCAGGAATGCGTGTAGCACTTGACTCACTCACCGCCTGGCTACTGCCGGCCGTGCCCTGCGTGCTAGAAAGGACTTTTATTTAACACACATCTACGGAGGAACACAGGGTGGCACTGAGCCTGGCCATCGGAGCCACATCTTTTCATATACAGAATCTCCACAAAAACCCTGGTGGCCTGGCTGGTGCACCCCGGGGGTGCCCGCAGCACTCCCGCAGCACCTGGAGTGGAGAGTTAAGCACAGTTCCAGGGCGGGGTGGAGGGGCTCACAGCTAGCGACTGCGGCGTGCTCACAGGGAGGACGCTGGGCAAGACCAAGAGGCCGTCGGTCCCAAGGCCTTCCCTCCCACCCCTTGTCCTGCAGGCCTTCCCCGGGGAGCAGCCCACCCCTACAGCAAGCCTCCTTGCCACCACGGGGAGGGGGGCTCAGAGCGCAGTACTTGCAGGCAGAGGGCAAGAGCAGGAGCAAGGCCACGGGAAGCTCCCTCCCCGAGAGCCGGGGCGGAGGGCCCAGGGCCCGGCTGGCCCCAGCAAGTGTTTTCCATACCTCCTACCCCAAGGAGGGAGCCTGTGTGCGGCAAAGCCAGAGAAGACGTAAGAACAAAAGAAGCCCTGTGTTAGACTTCTGATAATGATAGAATTTATAAGCAGAAACATAGTACTTATTTTTGTCGTTATCTAGTTTTTCTTTGTTGCGGACTTTATATTTTCTACATAGGATAAGTACTCTGCAATAATAATCTCCTCGTCCTCCAGAGTGGAGTCAAGGTAGTCTTCCTCGTGTTCTGGGATGTCTTCCAGGATTTCGTTGACGGCCTCGGTCTCCATGTCTTCATCAGTCGAGGCACTAGAAGTTCCTGTGACGGCGCAGCACAGTGGGAAGTGAGTTAGACAAGAAGACTCGCCCCCAGGGCGACTGACGTCAGAGGTCCCCCTCAGACTGCCTGCTGCTGGCCACCCCGCCCCAGCGGCCTACACAGCCGGGCCAGGCTCCGGGCAGCCTCGGCTCGAGGCCCCGGCCTCCCCGGCCTCCCCACCCTCGGACCTACCTGCAGAGTCGGAAGGGGACGTGGACGGTGTTGAGGAGGAGTCCTCCCCCGAGAGCTGCAGATCCGGAGGGAGGCTGCCTCCGTTGTGGGCAAGGGTCTGAGCCGCCAGCTGCACGTTGCCCCTGAACACTCTCAGTGCGGTGCTGGCCACCACGGCATCAAAGCCCATGTACACGAGCTAGGGGGGAGCACAGGGCAGGGGTGGTGACGGGTGACAGCCACCACGAGCCCCAGCTCGTCGGCACTCCCGACACCCACGTGAGCACGGTGAGGACGGCCCTTCCTGACAGGTTGCTCTTCAGCTCCAGGGTGAGTGTGGGGCCACCTGGGAAGGGGCTTGCTAGACCAGAGTCAGACCGGTCAGAGCTGCTGTGTCTGGACAGGCACCCCAGCGGCACCGAGGGCAGACACAGCGGGAAGCACCTCCGCCCAAGTGGCCACAGTGCACCCGCTCTGCGTGCAGGCACGTGGGCGGGAGTGGCCGTCACTGTGACACAGCTAGACGGGTTTCACAGGACACAGGGACATCCGCTCAGGTCTCGGGCTGAGAGCTGGGGCTCACATACACAGTGGCATGCAGGAAGAAGGGCAGGCAAGCAGAGGAAGGAATTTCCTGATGTTGTCTTCTATTCTTCCTGCTTTAAGGAAACACTTCCTGCTCTGCCCCCCCCCCCCCCCCCACACACCTGGACAGCCTTGCAGGGTCCCAGCAGGCTCACCTTGTGTCCTGCCACCACCCTCATCGCCCCAGCCAGCCCCACCCACGGCCGCGGGAGCCGGGACGGCGCGCAGGCCTCGTCACTCACTTGGTCGATGCTTTCCTGGGAAGGGCTTTCTTGATGGCTGCTCTCAGGGTCTGAATCGTTCAACCACCACATCTGAGGGTTACTGAGGAGAATCTGAAAGCACAGGAGGACCCTTCACTCGTCCCTCCCTGCCATGTGCCGGGCAGCAGAGCCCCGGCTCCTGTCTACAAACAGGACAGGCAGCCGAGCGCAGGACACTGCGATGCGGCCGTGCAGAGGGCGTCACGAGGCAGGGAAAGGGGCCCCAGGCTGGGCAGGAGCCTGTGCTCCCCAAGGCTTCTGGTCAAAGGCGACATCAGAGCTGAGGGCAGAGGAGGAGGTGCAGAGACCAGGAAACGCTCACTCCTCCCCAGCAAGCAGGAAGGGTGAGGCGGGGGCAGGGGAGGTATTCCAGAGAGCAAAAAGTCTCATCAGGGCTTTTTTTATTATTATTTGACAGGTAGAGTTATAGACAGTGAGAGAGAGAGAGACAGAGAGAAAGGTCTTCCT